CCTCTTTCAACGATCTCATTCCGATCCAATACGCGCAACCTGTCCGATTTAACGAAACACACATCCCTTTATATAAAATGAAAAAAAAAAAAAAAAAAGAAAAGAAAGTAAGGTAAGTCTGCCGTATTCGGAGTCCTTTGTTCAAGTTTTCTTCGTTGTTTCTTGTACAGAGATCAAGAGAAATTACGGTCCAAAGATATCGTGTGGTGTCCCAAGAAAAAAAAGAAATGCCATACCTGTTCCTATCTGAACATTCTTATTTTAATTGTATATATATATATGTATGTATATATATATATACGAGTCGTAGTTATTTCCACGTTTATCTACTTTTCATTGTTCCTCTTATACACGATGTTTCTATGGTTATCACGGGGACGGAAACGTGCAAACCAAACTGATCTCCACCTTTCGTTTTCCTTTGCAGTGAAAGCAACGCAGAGATACTCGATGCGAGATCGATACGAACTTCAACGTGGTGTGCTGTGAGAAAGGAGTGCCGAACGGTGATCCGATATTCGATGTTGAAGTGAAACGAGAACGGGTTGGCAGTGAAGTGGTGAAGTTGTTCGAATGTCACGCCGTTACGAACGGTGATGCGACGCGAATATCGCGAGTCATCGTCACGAACCATTAACGAAATTTTAAGTAATACGAACCGTACGCGTAATCGCGGCAGACATTTCCGATACATTTGTACATAACTTAGGACGCTCCGAAGTGTCGACGTCAGTGACGATTTTCGAACAAAAACAAAAGCAAAATGCAAAACAGCCGTACTAAAGATTAACCAAATGAACAAATTACGCGAAACAGAAGAGGCAGGAGAAAACGAAGAAGAAGAAGAAAACGAAGAAGAAGAAGAAGAAGAAGACGAAGATGGAAAAACAAAGACGAACGGAGAGATACTTGGAACTCGTTGTCAAAGTTTTTAGCCAAGAAATATCATCGTCAGAGCGTATATTATTTATTGTACATATAATAACAATGATATATATATATATTATATATATGAATTCGCGATACGTATGCGCGCAGGTGTTTAAGTAAATGACGAACAATTTTGCCTTGACCGTCGCGTTTTCGTTGTCCCCGTTGCCCTCGCGACGTCGAGCGTCGCGGCACACCCGCAACGTACCGATTTTTGCTACCACGATCAAGAAAAGAAGCTCGTTTGATCCGTCGAAATCGGCCGCGAAATTCGAAAGCGTCGCGGGGCAAACGGGCAACAACGAGGCCGAGAAATATCGTGAATTAGCGAATTGTTGTTGAACGTTAAAGTAGCTCATCTTCAACTATTTTGCGTGACACGAGAGAACGAGTGTATATGTGCGTGTATGCGTGTACAAGAGAGGAAGAATGAGAGAACGAGAGTACGTGTGAGAGAAAGAGAGAGAGAGAAAGAGAGGGAGAGAGAGAGAGAGAGAGAGAGAGAGAGAGAGAGACGTGAGAAATGCTAACTATATCGACTGTCGTATATTGTGATTCTGTTAGTTTTTATTTAATTGTCGAAACCACACGAATCGGATGTTACGCGTAAGGGGACAACCGTGTACCTTTTAGAATATTTTATTCTCTTTATCGACTTGCACTCGACTTTCAAAGGAACGCTCGTTTTTTTAACGTGAATATTTACCGAACGAACCGCCCACGTAATTCTTGCATACGTCGGACACGACGTCCGTGCGTCCGTGTCTCGACTACCTCGCCGCTGGCGTCCTCACCGGGACCGGAAGCGGAAGACGGACGCCTGTCGCCGGTCTCCGGCACGCAGGCAGGCAGTCCGTCCACTCGAATCGATTTTATATCTCTTAATTCTCATGTTATGTGTTCGATCTCTGTCTGTGCATTTGTCTGGCCACCTGTAAACACAATTCGATGAGCATGCACGTGTACGTAGAGAATATTTATAGCATTAAACACTTGATTAACGAACGTGATTTTCTTTTTCGCTGATTGTGCTTGCAACGTGTAAATTCTCTTTGCTAACGGATGCAACGAAGGGGAAACGAGGGAGCCGGGGGTGACGAGGATAAGGAAAGGGGGTGGTACTCGAGGATTAGGTGGAACCAGCAGGATGTAATTGAGCCAGGTACCGGGACACGCTCCGCTCT